AAGTCAGCACGGTCGTAAAATCTGAGCTTTCCGCGCACAGGGCTTGCGGACATCCGCTTTGAGTCCGTGTGGACCTCCGCGGAGTCCGCTCCGTTCTACGTTCTGCCTGAGTATGTTCGGGCCTTCAGGCGTTTTCTCAGGCCTATCACCTTCTTCGTTCTCTGCAGCCATGTCTCTTGTCTTGTTGTGGTCTTGTGTTAATTTCCCCTCTACGCGCCGCCAAGTAACGTTACCACCCTTTTTATGAAGTGACTATGACTACTGGTTAAGTCAAGGATAAAGTATCAGCGTAAGCCAATCAGAGGCAGCGATTGCATTCCGTACACAAGCACACACACATAGAGAGAGAGAGAGGGAAAAAACACGATTTGTCGACTCCTCCCGGGGAGTGTCGACTTGTGCCACTGACGTCGACACGTTGACACGTCGACAAATCGACTTTTCTGTTAATGCCCTAGTTCCTACATGAAACCGCTCACAACAAGGTCTGTGGATTATCTTGAGTAACCAGGTCATGATTTCTGTTAAGAGTTTTTTTAAATATATATGTTTGGTGCTTTGAGCACCACAAGCCGAGTGACATCTTGTTCCATTATATGTGAGAGAAAGGAGAAATCTCTACGGCCGATATCTTCACAACTCAGCAACTCACATCAAAACAATCTAGATTGATAAATAGCACTAAAAGTGAGAGGAAAAATATGTATTTTTGATTCAGGGGTGAACTGTCCCTTTAAGCTAAGTCAGGGTTGTTTCTTCTCATCATAATTAAAAACAATATGAACCATGATGAAAGTTAGTGTAACAATACAGCTGTCGATTCAAACTTGTTTTCTCTAGTTCAGTTAACTTTACTTACGTGACAACTTTGAATCAACTATTCAACTTCAGTTCAGAAGGGAAGTGTAGGGTGTTTTATGGTGTGAATTCCACTGTTATTCATTACTTCAGACAAAAATGTTCACTGGGTTAAACAAGAACTTCAGTAATTCATTTTGTAATATCTCCACTCACAGGTAATAAATTATCATACTGAATTATCTCCCTGCCTTGAATCAAAGTTTTTAAGCATGCAGACAATCGTCTCGCCACCCACAGACACCCTCACGCTCATTAGTCTCATTTTACCTCCATGATTCAGGCTTGAGCCCATAAATAACTATTCATGTGAGAAGATGTGTGTTTTAAGATCATAATGGATCTCATGTTCATTGAAGGAGTGCCAGGGTCACTGGCTGTAAGCTATACAAGATAAATAATTCCAGATGAATAATTCAAATCATTATAATGAATAAATGGGAGGTAATTATCCGGCTCCGAGTAGCAACCCGTGATTCAACGTAAGCACGAGGTGACAGAGATAAGAGGGGTTTCCCAGAGTCAACGAGGGACAATCACCTGCTTTGTAGAGGGAGGCCAGGGAGACGAGACAAAACACCAGTAAACACTAATGATGAAGAGAGCCTCTCACGCATGACATTATCTACTTTAAGAGTGTGTTTCTGTGTGTGTGTGTGTGTGTGTGTGTGTGTGTGGGTGTGAGAACAGGTTTCGGTTAGTGTCCAGTGGCTAAGCTGCAGATGTACAGATGAACATAAAAGCTTTGGGGAAGAGATGCTCCCTCACTGTGACTGAGAGGCCTTTGTGGGGAGTCCCTGAGCAGCCCCTCCCGAGCCGCACAGGAGAGATGACGAGGATGAAAGGGAGGACAGGACGGAGAGGGAGTCCACCCATCATCTCTTTTGTTGTCCATCTGCTGTCTTAGCCGTTCCGCCATTCTCTTGACAAGCTTAACCCCCCCCCCCCCCGCTGTCACAGGTGTAAACCCCAAATGTGGAGAAAAAGCCCTCCTCGCTGAGCTCCCCTCGACATGAGTGTCTTGGTACTTGAGTTTTCTGATTAAAAAGCAAAGCTATAAAAGATCTCCTTCAAATCACTGATAGTGGCAGTTTCTTTATGTTTAAAAAGCACTTTTCATCTGAACGCTGAGCACTGTCACCCTGCCCACAGTGAACAAAATAGCTTTTATCTTGCCTGTACTAATGACATGAACTGCACCTCATCAGTCAGACTACGTTAAATAGCCCCTTCCTATCATCTACAAGGTATGTAATGTGTTTGAAGAGTGAGTTTTACCATCATACATCCTCTGCACCACTGTCACTACCCTGATTTTACACAACAGAAGCCAAGTCTATAACCCAGGAACAGAAAAACAGCACAAATATTTTGAAACCTAAAAATAAATTCGTCCTGGACTGCAGCCTATGTTTGGGTGAGGAAGCATTTCTCACTTTGCTGGAGACCATCAGGACACACAGTCATCACACTTTTCTTTTAGCAGGACTCAAACAAAATATTTTCGTAATGATGCACCTATCTATAAAAACACTGATAAATAAGGCATAGTAATACTGATTTGGAGTCATGCGTCAGACTCACGCTCATCTCATGCCTTTCGATTTCCAATACTGAGCACTTTTGATCTCATGGGATAAAAATGTACAGTTAACGAGATTTCAGTCGCAGACGATCCACTTTGCCCACCCCATTTGCCACCGTGACCTCGATAGGCAGCTAAAAATGGATGGAATAGATATGGATATATGGATGGATGGATGGATGGATGGTTAGCAACTAAACAGTAGGCCTATATGCTGGTGTGAATGTGCTTAAGTAGGTCCACAGGAAACTGAATCTATACAACAATCACTTTCAATATCCACCAATACAAAACACCTTAAATATACATGAAGAAAAATACTACTAGGGATGCCCTGATTCAAAATGTTTCTCTCCTGCTATAGATTCAGATACCAGTGCTCTCTTCTCCGCAAATTAAAACCTTTTTACCTCATTGGAATCATATTTATGTACGGTAACATGAGGCCAGAAATTTCTGTGGCATTAAAAAAATCAGTCACCATGAAGAACAGAATTTAACCTATAGCAAAAACACTACATTTTAAAATGAAAATGACAAAGAAACCATATTTACTCTGGCTTATTATAATTATTATTATCGCTTATTATGCTCAGTTTCAGCTAGGGATGCACCGATCCGATATCTGGATCGAATATCGGACCCGATATCATCAAAATAGATGGATCAGGTATCGGAAAATGCAACCTATACCTAAGGCGATTCTTTCCCTTTAAATCTATTGCAATGCGAGCTAAGTCATACGTCATGGAGCGAAGGAGAGAATCTGCTGTGTGGAGGTATGTCACACTATTTCAACTGCTGCTGCACGATTGTTTATTTTGTTAAAAATAAAGAGTTCATCATTGCATTAATCTGTTTCATCTTGTTTCATTTTATCTTAAGAAAGAACTGTGTAGTCATCAATGCCTGATGCCTCTAGTCTTTTCTGTTCTACATGTAAAGGTATAAAGCTTTTTAGGTCAACCATGGTATCGGATCGGTATCGGGTATCGGCTGATACTCAAAGCCACAGCAACAGGATCGGTATCGAAACTGAAAAAGCTGGATCGGTGTATCTCTAGTTTCAGCGCCAATCAGCATCTCTGAAAAATACAATCTTAAAGACATCAACAAGTCTTGCCAAATTAGACTTACAAGCCACCCTTTCACAAGGCAATAGGTAGTAGTTCAAGGCTTCATTCAGGAAAAAATGTCTTTGGGTTTGAAGGCGTAGTATCCGAAATGCAAGACCGACATTTATGGTCACGTTCAATGCCAAAAAATGCTGTATAGGGTAAACATCCTTATTGCTCACTCCTAGTTCTAACTATTTCCACCTATCTACCCTTGGCCATTCTACCTAGCGCTGGGAGATATGGAGAACATCAAATACGCCGATATTTTTGATCACATACCCCAATATCGATATTGCTACTACAGTGTGGGGTTGATTACTGGTGCTTTCACATACTTACACAATGAGTATTTTGGATAATTAATCATCAGTAATGCGGATATAATGGCTAAGAGGGTAAAGGCAAATAATAGCACAGCTAGAACAGTCTGGCAAGTTTAGAAAATCAAATCATGACATTACAATATCCAAAATCTAAGACAATATCTAGTCTCATATCATGATACTGACCAGTCGTATCTGATACCGTGACTTAAGGAATCTGTTTTGTTGCATATTTGATAAAAATATATTTATGCAAATGCGCCCTTTCACACTTTCATCAGTGGCCTGTGATGGTGTGGGAAGACACATAGAACTTGGCAATAAGTGACTAAAATAAAAAAGGTTGCAGTAAGCAGGTTTGGTACGTACAGTAGGACAAGAGACCATCACCTTTAAATACTTTGACATTAATGTAAAGGGTTGCAGCTGCAATGAGCTGAATGCATACTGTATGTCCCTGCTGTGTTTCATGCTGTATCCTGGACCTGTAATTTCACTGTAGTGTGGTGAAACTGAGATTTAGAATAGTCTTAGCTCTAAAAAAATCCCATCAGATTTGAACAGGCACGTCTCAACAATGCACCACATATAAACTGGCAATTTACTTCCATATAACTCTGAGCTGTGGAGACCTCTGACCCACAGACACTGACAGCACACAGGCTGCATTCACACAGGAGCCAATTTGACAGTTGGGATCAACAAGTCTCACCTGACCTGCTATCCAGACAGAAAACACGTTTCCTTGTGTGTAACACTGCTGAACCGTGTTAACACCAGCTCCTCATACTAATGTAAAGCATGTGCTAACGTTTACGTGATGCTCAGTTTAAAAGGATACCGTCAGTATGCTAGCTTGTGTCTGCCTCTTAGCTGTGTCGGGTTTACGGTTAATGTCACACACAGAGGGAAATGTTAGACGTGAAAATTTATTGAATACAGTTGTCTAGTCGTTGTGGTTAAAGTAACGTCAATTGTTGCTGTCAACGTCTGTGTTTAAGGTCAGTTTAGCCTTCATGTTGTGCTAGCATGCTAGCTGCAAAATGAATGGGGGGTTGGGCTAGCCTACAGCATCCAGCATCCTCTATCAACCGTTATGAGACGGAAATAACTCACCTGGTTGTAGTGCACCCTGAACGGCTTCAGGTAGTCGGACTCTGTGCACGGAGTGACTTCAATGTTGTTAATCTCTTCCATAGTTTACACTCGGAGCTGGATTGTCGGCTCACCGATGGTTGTCTGTCACCGCACACTAACTGACAGTGAAGGAATGTCTACGGAAGCCGGGAGAGGACATGAGGGTGAACTGTGAGGATGGCAGGACAGGTGAAAGGAGCAATATCAGAAAATAAGGACTGTTCATTTTATTGTATGGAAACTGTCCGAAGCATTTTATGGAACAAGAGAACAGATTAAGAGTCTAAGTATTGTTTATATGTTATATATTTAAATAATTAAAAAATAAAATCCTTTGAGATAAGAATTAGTGCAGTCAAGCTGTCCCTGTCATCTGTTCAACACACCCTGAAGGTCTTTGTTTTCGTTGTGTTTTCTTCCTTTTCCCTGCATTTTATTTATGTATTGTTTAATTTTACATTATTTTTATATTATGAAATATATTTACTACAACTTTTACAATGAAAATCTAGAATGTCCATACTCCATGTGTTGAATATAGTTTGGAAAATAAAGGGAAAAAGCTGGTATTGTGAAATAAATCACATGACACATGTTCGACACAATTTTTTTTCAACAAATAATTTATCAAAATTAAATTAAAAATACCCCCCACAGAAAAAGCATTTCCATTAAATCGTTTTTTGTTTTTTTTTTTACTCCTTTTCTTATCTTATTTAGAGAATTTAATTCAGCTAATTAATCCCTTCTTAGCTATATATTTTTTTACATAAATAATGGTAAAACAACAACAAAATTTATTTATATGGAATCATTCAGACATAAAATACCCCTCAAAGTGCTTTATAACAAATTATATGAATATTTAAAAAATCTACAAATAAATTCTACAGAGCCCCCAGAGAACTTGTGTGGGATGATAATAACTTGTTCCCACACAATTAAAGAAAAATAAACATTAAAAATAAAATTACACCTTTTTTACGTCTGTTTATTGGCTTTTGCAAAACAGTGTAATACAGTAAAGAAACACACAAAAAGCAAAAGAAGAAACAAAACTAAATGGAGCACTGGTGGTAAGACAAAAAAAGATTACACATAAGTTATCCCACAGGTTACAGTGTTTTGACATATGACACCATGGTACAGTTAACCTGTTAAACTATTACCCATTCACTTTAATTCCTCAATCTAACTAATGACCGGTTGCCAGATTTTCTTAAAGAGTCTCTCTCTGTTTGACAGGGTGAAGCTAATTTTCTCTAAATGTAAAACATGACCTAATTCCTTCAGCCAGATCTAAAATAAGATTCATGAAATAAAAATAAACACAGTAAGATTCAGTAAAAGTCAAGATAAAAAGAGTATAGATGTCTTTTTTGAATAAGACTGAAGCCTTGATAAGTAGACTTGCATCATTGTAGTGTTCTTGCACACCATGAAGTGAAGTTTTATTTATATATCTCCATATCACCAATCACAGATTTGCCTTGGGGGGCTTAAAGTCCTTTTGACAGGGGCATTTGAGTCAAACTCAAATGGACCAGAGAATCCCAAACATTCAGTTCAGTAACTACTCCATTTAATGTTCATGTCCTCAGACCTTCATGAGGTAAACTCACTGGGTGAGATTTACCTGATGAGGGTTTAAGGACCAAAGCATTGCTTATAAACTGAGTACATTTGGTGTGCAAAAAGTACCAATCACAATTCACAGTTACATTCAAACCTATGGATGTTTTAGTGCCACACAGACACAGGAAGAACAGGTGGGTTTTAAACCTAGAACGTTCTTGCTGCTAGTACAAACCACTGAAACATATTTGTTCCAAATATATAACATCAGATACTGATGGAAGCCAAGAAATAAAGGCAAAGATAATGGAATGATGCTGCATCTCACCGTTTTGTGTTTTTAACATTACACTGATTGGCTCAGAGGAAACACTACTCACAGGTCGAGTAAAGGTCACGTAACTGTTACTTATTAGCCCAAGGAGGGGTGCATTATTCATAAAGGATGGTATGTTTAGTCGTGTTTTGTCTGCTATTCTGTGTTAAAACAAGCTGAAAGTATGTTGCTTATCTTTTTAGTAAATGTAACAGGACATGTGTGCATTTTTTTTTGACCATTTAAACTGTATTTCCACATATTATGCATAGTGAAAGCCTTCTGTACAGATGAAAATCTGCATTGTGTGTTTCTCAACTCACAGATCATAACTAAAATATGCTAATTTACTGCTTATTGTACTGCTTAACAAATATTACTAATGGGAAGAAAACTCAAGGGCAATTTATTAGCTTTTTCTGGAGCTTTTAGCTGGTCTTCTTCAGCACATTCAGGACTATAAGATGTATTTGAAAGCATCAGAAAAAGCTTCTTATTAAGATTTTTTTTTATAAAACAAATATTGTCAAGGTCACCTATAAACTTTCCCCCTTGAAACTTCAGCAGGTTCAGAAAACATCGAAGGAATAGTTCGGCGTTTTGGGAAATCTGCTTACTTATTTCCTTGCTGAAATTTAGAACAAAAAAGATTAATTCTTCTCTTCACATTTATATGTTAAATATTAAATATGAAGAGTAGATAAAGAGTTGCTGTTTTACAGTGGGTTGTGTGCCAGACTATTTCCTGACCGTGACATGTTGCCTGGCAACCAGTGAAGACTGGGAAGTTACTGTCCCTGGCCAAACAATAGCACAGAACATAAACGTCTGTAAAACCACAGTGTGTCATATTTAAACTTTGATTTTTGCACAGATTGAATTAATGAGCTTTAAAGGTGCTGGTCTGGGGATTTTGTTACATTTTGACTGAGCCAAGACAGTTGTTCAGCCCCAGTTACTATGCTAAGCTGAGCTAACAGGCTACTGGCTGTATCTTAAGTAGTTTCCCAAAATATTGCTCTATTCTTTAACATCTCAATCAAATATTTTATCAGTAGATTTGGGATTGACCGCGTGTTCTGATCCAGTGATTTGAGTTTGGAGTTCACCTTTAAATGCCCAATACAGCTTCATATTAAAAATGACGAGAGGTCCAGCATCCTCACTGTGCTGAGCAATGAATCAGAGATGGGTGTGGGAGCTCTTTCTCACCAACCCTGCCTTGAAGGGTGAGGCTGCATGATGTCACCCACTCACATCAATAACAGCCTTATAATGGAAAACAATCTGCACAGCTCCAATCTCGATGGGGCTGACTTCCTCCAACAAATGAGCCCCAGTCCACCGCCCACTACACAAGGACAGGACGTAACACTTTTGCTGAGCTGATTTACATCTAAATAAATACAGGCCTAGACGAAACAATGTGCGGACCCAAAAGAGGAACCGGCGTCTCTCCTCTGGGCACGTCCAATTTTTATTGCCCGATCCAGCCAAGCTGCTGGGCGCGATAAGACGACGGAGGACTGCTGAGTTGAGGCAATGCACAAGAGTCAACCTGCTGTGGTTTGTTGGACACAAAGAAACTATGGCAAAAGAATGAGGAGATGAAATGAGATGAAGGCATAGAGATGTAAAAACAAATATGTATACGTAAATATTCCCCATTGTTAAAACACGTATTTGTCACCAGTTAGGGTTATGGGTTTGTGAAGTCTGTGTTTTTTTTGTTGACAAAAACCCTTGATGACCAAACTTTTTTTGGGTTGTAATCTGTAAATACTGTCATTTTTGGTCAAATTGGCAACATGTATTTACAACATTGCTTTATTGGCTGTTCATTCATTTGCATGTGACTATCTGTGGTCCATCAGATCCAGGATTTTGCAACTTTCATGTGACAAATCTAAACTTCTTCCTTGCTACCCTGAAAACAAAGTGACTTAATTACTTTGAACTACTTTATATACAAGCAGCACGATGATGCTGCGGTTAGCATTGTCACCTCACAGTAAGAGGGTTCTTGGTTCGAACTTGGAGTGGAGGGTTTGAACCCTGGGGTGAGGGAGCCCTTCTGTGGAGTTTGTATGTTCTCCCTGTGCCAGTGTGGGTTCTCTCCAGGTACTTCGGCTTCCTCACACAGTCCAAAGACATGCAGGTTAATTGGTGACCCTTAATTGTCTGTAGGTGTGAATGTGAGTTTGAATGGTTGTCTGTCTCTATGTGTCAGCCCTGTGATAGTCTGGTGACCTGTCCAGGGTGTACCCCTGAAAGTTACAGAAAGTACAGAAATACAGAAGGTTTTACATTTCCTCTGGTGATTATTTTAATATGACAGAAGTTCAGACACATTTCTGAGGTCGCAAAGAAGTGACCCGTACAGGGACTAATAATACAGTGAAAAAAAAAAAAACCATCATCCACCAGAAATGAATAATTGTCTTATTTTGGTCTGTTACTTAGTGCAGTGGTTCCCATATGGGATAGGTTCCCCAAGAGGATTAGTCCAGCAGTTCAGGCCACTTCAAAGGGTCACAAGATGAATCTGAGGGGCAGTGAGATGATTAATGGGAGTAGAAAGAAGTTAATCAAGTTCTAATACACACATTTGTATTCATTTTTGTTGACTCTTGTCTTTGATTTTGTGAAATGTTAACCATCTGACAAGTTTAGAGGGAAAATGAGTCTTTCGTGGAACTGCTAACAACTCTAAGACATCGCATGTAAGGCAGCATAAAAGTACAAATTCCTCAAAATTGCACTTAAGGATTGCACTTGAGTTTAAAGTGGAAACAGGGGTCTCATTTATAAAACCATGCATAGGATCATTACTAGAACTGTACGTACGAACAAAAGCCAAAAATGGTGTTTGCCTAAAAATATTTAACAATTCCTACAATCAGGCTTCACCATCTGTGTTGCTAATGTCCCTTCTCCAAAATGTTGGTAAGCATGGGTCAAAGTTTCTCCCATCAAGTCTGTTTTTATACATCACAGTCATTGTGTGGGAAGTGGCATACACTTCTTTCATGCCTCGTTTTGTGCATATACAGTGTTTATATCCTAAAGGTTTATCACCTAAAACATTCTTTGATTTAATGTAAAATGTAATCAGCAACCCATAAAGTGTAGTGAAGTCAAGCGTTGTTGGGTTTGACAGGTGTGGCAGTTCAGTGTGCCGAGATGCCACGAAAATGTTTGAAAGTATGGCTATACTACACATCTGT